CTGCTGCTGCTGCTGCTGCTGCTTGCGGAGACACGGACCAGCCAAGCCCGGCTTCACTTCTCTGAGCCTGGACTCTAGTCCTTTCCCTCCTCCTCCTCCTCCTTGGAGAACCGCCCTCCTCCTCCGCCTCTTTCAGCCCTTCCTCCTCCTCCTCCTCCAGACCTTCCTCTTCCTCCTCCTTCTCTTCTTCTTCTTCCTCGGTTTCCCCTCCCTTTTTCTCTGCCGAGGAGGGAAGAGGGAAAAGGGGAGGCGAGGGGGACCAGTCCACCCAGCCCCCTCCCAGGTTAAGGCGCCTCTTCCCGCTCCTCCCGTCCATCCCCGCCTAGGAAGCTTACCCTGTGCAAAAGGAAAGGAGAAAGCCGGACAAGGCTGATGGCTCCAAAGCCACCTGGACCTCCGAAGGTGAGGACTGAGAAGAAAAACACACACACACACACACACCCGTTTCAAGGGGACCAGAGGTGTCCTCACCTGAAAAGGAGGACCAGGCGCCGCAAAATGCAGGACCTTCGAGGAAAAGGCAGGACCTGACCAAAGAAAAGCTCAAGACACACTCCGTGGAAATGTAAACTCGTGCTTTTTAGAGATGCTCAAAATGGAGGATGCTTTGGAATGCCTCCTTGGACAGAAAAGGTTGAAATGGAGGATGCGTCCTGGAAAAGGAGGACGCCCCTGGCCACCCAACTGTCCCTTTTTCTTTTTCTCTGAAAGGCCGGGAAGGTGAAGAGCCCTTGGGTTTGTTTTTCCCCCTCCTTGGGGTTCCCCTAAAAGCCGCCAGTGAGAAAAGGGGGTGCGTTTTTCTCCTCTCTTGTCACTATAATTATTATTAATATTAGCATGATTAATAAGTGTTTCATGTTCTCTTTTGGAGCGGCCAGAGTTCTCTCTTCTGTCTCAAACCTGTGGCTCTGGGCAAGAAAATTAAGCTTTTCATTGTCCCTTCCCCCTCCATGGGAATCTATGGGGGCGTGTGTGTGTTTGTGAGGGGAAAAACTGAGAGAAAACTTGCACCGCTTTGGTCCAAGGGAGCTCTTCCCACATGGAGACAGATGTATTTAATCTACGGGAGAAAGCAGAAACCATAAGATAGTCGCTCTCACCATTACCCCATAACTGTCCTCCCCATTTTCTCTCACACTCAACACACCTTTCTGCTTCCTCCTCCTGGCCCCTCTTTTGCTCCCTCCCAAACTTCCCTCTCTGAAGAAACTTGCCAAGAAAACCCCGGGATAGAGTCGCCTTAAGGTCGCCATAAGTCGGAAACGACTGGAAGGCACACAACAACAACAACAACAACAGGCTCATATTTAATAGGTATAGGTCACAATCATCCTTAACTTGGAGGCACATAACAACGACAAGTATCTCCTTTCCACCAGAAAATGAAATGGGACCTGCAGAGTTACCCGACTCCCCTTTCATGGCAATGCAATGTGTGTACTGTATATGTCTGCGTTTAAAATAAATAAATAAACAAACAAATAAATAAACACAACTCCCAGAAACCCGCACCCCCCAGGTGGACTGAGGTTGTAGGAGTTGTAGTCTCCCCCCAAAAAAGTAACTTTCCCAAGCTATGAGGGGGCAAACACAGAGGCACATAAGGAGGCGGAGGAGAGGTTGCGGCGCTCTCAGCGCGGGAAGAAAGCTTTGCTCTTTGCCCTGGAGAAGCCGGCCTTTGTTTTCTCTCAGCTTCTCTGTCCCAGGGATGAAAAAAGGAGACCTTCTTCTCTGCCTTTCCCAAAAGCAGTGCCCCTAGCCTCTTCTTGGAGGGGGGAAAAGCCCCACAGAGGGAACAGCCTTCATCACATTTGAAAGATAATCTTCCAACCCCATGAAGTACCATAATTTTCAGTGCAAGCCCATATACAGCTCTCCTCAGAATTAAGTCCCATAATCACCAGAGAGGATTGTTGTTGTGTGCCTTCAAGTCGTTTCTGACTTATGGCCACCCTAGGTCAGCCTATTACAAGGTTTCCTGGGGCTGAGAGTGTGCAACTCACCCAAGGTCAAATTGGGTTTCCATGGCTGAGTGGGGACTCGAACCCTGGTCTCTAGAGTTGTAGTCCAACACTCAAACCATTGCGCCACACTGGCTCATCGGTGGATCGTGGGTGGACTTTTCTGCCCAGCAAATGGAGTGAGATCCTCAGCTTCAGAAACTTCTGCAGTTCAATTTCCTATCACCCCCGAAGAAGACCACTGAAATTCTTATAGGCTGAAATATATTAGGGTTTTTCCAAAATGAAAGATGTATCCATTGAGCGCTTGGAGATATGTCACTTCCTCCACCCCGGTGGATTCTGTTGGGTGCTCTCCAGTTTTTGTCACTTTTGACTCTAAAGCAAAGCAGAAGAGAGTGAGTGCAAGTGGGCCAGCTGGGTACCAGTTGGGACTGAGTGCTGCCATTTTTATCCCCCATTATACCTCTATGTGCTGCCTCTACAGGGCATTGTGGGGAATTTAGTAGAAGAATTAAGAGGACAGGGAGACATCAATGCAAAGGACATGGGCAGCTGCTGCTGGCCCTGCGTCAGGGATGTTACTCAATTCTCAAGCTTTCTGTGTTACTGTCTATTCCACGACTTTCTGGGTGATGGCTGTATGGTTTATGTATGCTATAACCAAAGTTGCAAACCAGAATCCCCATCAGAGACTGAATAAGTCATTTGCAGGGAAATTATGGCAAGTGAGACGAGGAGAACACTTGGGGGGGGGGGGGGAATTCCAGCTGCAGCCCTTAAAAAGAACATTTGACTGGTCCTTCATTTCCATAGACACCTACTAATATATTTTCTGGCAGAAACAAAATAGCAAACCAGATTAGTGTCTTTCAATTTTATTCTTTCTGTCCCTGGTCTATTTTTTTTAAAGGAAATATAACTTTATTGAGATGATGGATGCTCTGCTTTCTACAGTGGCATCTCAGAAGGGTGGAATCCCAGTTTTTCTGTCTTGTTTTGATTGAGGTTTGTTAGCTACGAGAGCAAGACTGAAGAATTTTTGGTTCTCCAGAATTGTTTGTTTGTTTACTTCAACCCTCAGAAGTCCTGGCCAAAAGAGTTC